ACCTTTCTTCCAAGCAGTGGCTGGTAGGTTTGAACCGCCGGCCTTCTGGTTAGGAGTCACATGCCTTAGGTACTATTAGAGCAGAAATAAATGAAACCAAAAACAGAAGAAACAATAGAAAGAATCTACAAGACTAGAAGTTGGTTCTTTGAAAAAAAATAACAAAATTGATGAATCACTGGCAAATTTAACTAAGGAAAAGAAAGACAAGATACAAATAATACAAATAAAAAATGAAATAGGCGATGTCACACTGAAATAATAAGCATAATAACAAAATACTGAAGAATTGTACTCCAATAAATTAAAAAACCTAGTAGAAATGGAAAAATTTCTAGAAACACACAACCTACCTAAACTAACAAAGACTAGGTAGAATATTTGAACCACTCCCATAACAAAAGAAGAAATCAAATGGCCAGCTAAGAAACTCCTGCTATCTAAGATGCAATTACTGGTCTCTCCTCAACTGGAACAAAGAAGAGTGAAGAAAATCAACAATTTGAAACAATTAATACAAAGGAGTAATGGACCATGAGAACATCAGCCTATGTGACCCTGACACCAGAAAAATTAGATCGTGCCTGGCTACCAATGCCAACCACTTGGAAAGGGATCAATATTGGAAATCCTGTAAAGTGTAGAAGAGAAAATGTGAATCAAAATTCAAAATTAGGAAAAAGACCAGGATTGCTGGTCAGATAGAGATTGCCCTAGTCACCCTTAAGGCCTGGAACTGAATTCACTCCAGTGGCTTAACTCTCAGTCAAATAATATAAAGAGGGCTATAAACTGATCAACTATATAACCACCATGGGATATCAGAAGGGCAGCATTTGCACAGGGAAAAATGGAGGGAGGCAGGAATGCATAGCTAAGAAAGACACAAGGAAAGGGTAACTTTAGGGAGGAAATGGGAAGAGACCTGTCAGGATTGTAATCAGTGTTACAAAACAAAATGTGTATGAACTGTTGAATGTAAAATGAATCTGCTTTGTGAAATTTCACCCAAATCACAATATAAAGTTATTAAAAACAAACAAACAAATAAAAAACCTCACAACAACAACAAAAAAAGTCCTGGCCCAGACAGTTACACTGGAAAATTCCACCAAACATTCAGAGAAGAGCTGACACCAATCAAACTATTCCAGAACACAGAAACGGATGGAACACTCCCAAATTGATTTTATGAAGCAAATATAACCCTGATATCAAAGCCAGGCAAAGACACCACTAAAAAAACAACAACAACAACAAAAAAAAAATTACAGACCAGTATCATTCATGAATATAGACACAAAAAACTTCAACAACATCCAAGCCAATAGAATCCAACACTGTATCAGAAATATAATATACCATGACCAAGTGGGATTCACACAAGGTATGCAAGGATGGTTCAACATTAGAAAAAACAATCAGTGTAATCCACTACACAAATAAAGCAAAAGAAAAGACCTGCATGATCATATCAGTTGAGGTAGAAAAGGCATTTGATAAGATCCAACATTCATTCCTGATATAAACTCTTTGGAAAACAGGAATAGAAGAAAAATTCCTCAACATCAAAAGGGAACATATGCAAAACCAATGGCCAACATTATTCTCAATTGAAAGACTAAAAGCGTTCGTTTTGTGAATGGGAAGTAGACAAGGATACCCTCTATCACATTTTATTGGAAGTCTTAGCCAAGGCAACAACCCAAGAGAGGGAAAAAGGAAAAGACATCTAAATTGGTAAGGAAGAAGTAAAACGCTCCCTATTTGCAGATGATATGATCCTATACATAGAAAATTCCCAGGGACTCAAAAAGAAAACCACTGGAACTAATTGAAAAATTGAGCAAAGTGTCAGGATACAAGATCTACATAAAAATCAGTTGAATTCCTCTACATCAAAGAGATCTCTGAAAAGGAAATAAGGAAAAAAAATACCATTTACAATAGCCACCAAAATAATTAAGTATTTAGGAATAAATCTTACCAGAGATACAAAAGACCTATATAGAGAAAACAACAAAACACTACTACAAGGAACTGAAAGAAATCTATATAAATGGAAGAACATACTCTGCTCATGGATAGGATGATTTAACATAGTGAAAATGTCAATAGTACCAAAAGCAATTTAGAGATACAATGCAATCCTGACCCAGATTCCATCAATAGTTTCTTTTCTTTTTTAGATTTTCTCTCCTATCTAACAGCGTTCCCTCCCCGCCCACCATCCACACTCTTCAAAGAGGTAGAAAAACCAATCACTATATATGGAAAGAAAAGAGACTACAATTACAGATAAACAAAGCACTACAAAAGAAGAACAAAATAGGAGCACTTTACACTTCCCAATCTAAAAACTTACTGTGGAGACACCATAGTCAAAACAGTCTGGTATTGGTACAATAACAGACACACAGACCAATGGAACAGAATTGAGAACCCGGAAACAGATCCCTACACCTATAGACTACCAATCTTTGACAAAGTGCCAAAACCCATCACATGAGGAAAATTATGCTGGTAACTGGATATCCATTCATAAAAGAAATGAAGTAAGATCCGTACCTCACATCACATACAAAAACTCACTCAAAATAGATCAAAGACCTGAATGTAAAACCTAAAACTATAAAATCATCAAAGAGAAAAATAGAGAAAAACATAGGAGCCCTAATTTATGACATAAATAGACTATCAACATCACCAAAATTCACAAACAGCAGAAGATAAACTAGATAACTGGGACCATCTAAAAATTAAATTTTTATGTGCATCAAAAGACTTCTCCAAAAGAGTGAAACAGAACCTACAGATTGTGAAAAATTTGGCAATGACATATCTGACAAGAGATTAACCTCTAAAATGTGTAGAAAACGTCACTATCTCAATACCAAAAAGACAAACAGTTCAATTCAAAAATGAGCAGAGGATATGAACAGATACTTCACCAAAGAAGATATTCAGGTGGCCAAGAAAACATAAAGAAATGGTCATGATCACTAGCTATTAGAGACGTGAAAATCAAAATAACATTGAGATATCTTCTCACCCCAGCAACAGGAAAGTTTAACAAGACAGAAAACAATAAATGCTGGGGAGAGTATGGAGTGATTGGAACTCTTATACACTTCTGGTGGAACTTCATAATGGTGCAACCATCATGGAAAACGATATGGTGCCTCCTTAAAAAGTTGTAAACAAAAATACCATTTGATCTTGCAATTCCATTACTAGGTATATATCCTAAACAACTGAGATCAGAACACAAAAAGATATATGCAAAACCATGTTAATCACAGCACTATTCACAATATCAAAGAGATGGAAATAACCCCATGGATGGATGAATGGATAAACAGATTATGGCACATATACACGATGGAATACTATCAACATTAAATAATGAAGAATCCATGAAACACTTCATAATGATGAATGTGGAGGATATTATGCTGAGTGAAATAAACTAATCACAAAGGACAAATATTATAAGAGTCCACTATTATAAAAAATCAAGAAAAGTTTTAAACACAGAAAGAAACCTTCTTTGATGATCACCAGGGGTGGGAGGAGAAAGAGGAAAAATTATTAAGTAGGTAAGAGACACATGTTAATTTTAATAAAGGGAAAGGCATATAAAAATAGTGGGTGAGCAGTACAATATTAGTAAGGCAAAGGAAGACATGAAAGGTGCACAAGGGTTATAGACAACAAAGGTAAACACTTTTACGTACACAATCCTATATTATCAGTAATAACAAACATTAATCTATGAATGGATACATAGGTAGATAGGCAAGATGATTGGGTATGGGTAGGTGAATGGGACTATATCCACAACCATATATAGATTTGACAGATGCTATTTCTACATACATATGTGTATGTAACTGTAAAAATGCCCATGTACACAGTAGATCTAACAAGGAGCAGCATTATAAAAACTTCTTAGCCATAACCAAACACTTTGAAAAAGTGTGATGCTGGGCCTGTAAGCTTAGAACCATAGTTATGGGAGACATCAAGGTCAACTGGCATAAAATAGTTCAAAACACATTGCTCTACATCTTATTCTGGTGAGTAGCAACTGGGGGTCTTAAAAATTTGCAAGAGGCCATCTACAGTGCAACTATTGGTCTCTCTTCACCTGGAGCAAAGAAGATTGAAGAAAATTGAAGACACATGGAAACGATTAGGTCAAAGGACTCATGGACTGGTGAACAACAGCTTCCATGACCCTGAGACTGGAAGAACTAGATGGTTCCTGGCTACCACTGCTAACCACTCTGAATGGGATCACAACAAGAGATCCTGGTTAGAGTGGGAGAAAAATGTGGAACAAATCTCAAAATAATAAAAAAGAGCAGGTTTACTGATCTGTTAGAGATTGGTGGAACCCCTGGGACTATGGCTCTAAGACATGGTTCAGGCCTGGAGCTGAATTCACCCCTGAGGCTCAATTTTCAGCCAAACAATAGATAGGCCGCTGAGGTGCACAATTAACACCAAAGAGGTACACACTCCTTACAACAATCAAACATAAGAGATCAAAAGGGCAGCATTTGCCAAGGGATAAGGCTCAGAAGGCAGGTATGGATTGGAAGGAAGGACAAAATAAAATGTTCACTACAGGAAGGAAGTGGGAAGAATGCTGTTCCATTGTGAAGATCATAATCAATGTCATGAAACAAAATATGTATGAACTGTTGAATGGAAAACCAATTTACTCTATAAACTTTCACTCAAATCACAATAACATTAATGGTAATTACAATAAGTAAATATGAAATCAGAATGTAAGTGTCCTTAGAGAAAGATGAGTTCTATTTCTCATTCTTTAGAATGTAACACTATTTCATTTTTTCTGAAGCCAGTTTGTCTTTCAAATTCAAGGAAATTATTTTACATGTCATTGTGAAGATGCTGAAATCTTAGTGAAATATATATAAGTACAGTCTCATAATTTGATAATAAACTCATTAATTAATATATCCTACCTGAGAGTTTAGGGCATCATGACGATATTCTCTTGTAAAAATACCACATAGAGCTTCACCAGATGGCAGTTTTTTGTCAAAACGATTCTCAACTGTTGCTGCCACTTGATTAACAAGGGCCTGATTCACAAGGAAAGAGATCTATTAGTAATATAATAGAGTACAGACAGGTGAAACTTGAAAGTATAACAGAATCTGTCCAAAAATCTGTTCTGCTTTGAGTGCACAAAATAATACCTTCTATGTACCCATCTACACTAAATATACTAAAATGCTCTCTTTGAGATACTTAACTAAGCATATAAGCCTCAGTGATAAACCTAACTCTCAAATAAAATGGAAAAAAAAAAAAAAAGATGGCTTAATCATAAAGAAAAAACAGGAAATGACCCCACACATGAGAAGAAACAGCTGAATGTCTGGGTTACCAGGACTTAGAGAGGAGCTTGAATATGCTTTAGAAGGAAGGTCAAGTGAAGGATCACAAGGATAGATGTGTGGCTCTTATGTTTGGGAACTTTTCCTTTCTTCTCCAATTAAAATATCTACATAAATGATTAGACCATGCTTTAGATCAAACAGGCAGCCTGGCCAGTGGAATTTGTGTGAAGAAACCTATGAATATCTGCCAATTTCTCACTTTAGTCTCCATCAAAACCTATATAGATTAAAAGGCAAATTATAATATATAACTATAAATGTGGTATAAAATGAACATTTTAATATATCCTCATTTATTTGCACATGCAGATAGAAACCTTAAATGAAGATATTAATATTTGACTATATTAGATAGTAACAAAATGTTGTTATAATTAAATTGACTTTAAGAATAATGAAAAGACAAAATGATAAATGTTAAAAGTATTTCTTACATTTATGTTAGAGAAAAGGTTAATATCCTTAATATACAAAGTTCTGATAAATTAATAAAAAAAAACAACTACTTCCCAAGAAAAAGAAAATGGGAAAATATTCAAAAGGTAGTTCACAAATAAATTCCAATGCTCAAAAGCCATACATAAAGATGCCCAATTTCTGTAATCATAGAACTTCAAATTGAGATATCAATAACAGCTTTTACCTATAAGTACGATTCAAACTTTCAAAAATGTTGTTAAGGAATATTGAATAATGTAAGAGAACAGACAGTGTCATAAACTTTCAGTGGGTATAAAAATGGATCCAAACTTCTTTAGAGTAATTTACCTATATGCACTGCACTTGCTTTTGTAATTTAATTTATTTAATTTTAATTTTGTCTTATTTTCTTATTTTAGTAACTTCCTGCCATGAGTGCTTATTGCTTTTATTATCATGAAGAACAAAACAAACAAAAAGTACAAATAACTGAAATTGAAATTACACTAATAATTTCAACTAATTATATGGGTTAATTTGGTACTAAGTAACCACAAATCACACATTTTTCTACAGACTAAAATTGAAAGAATTAGTCATCTAAATTAAATCTTTTTTGAAAGTAACTTCAATGTAAGAGGTTGCAATGAGAATATGCAACTTATATAATACTTCATATAAATCAGACTTTCCTCTAAATGACAAAGATCATTCTTTCTGTTTTAAGTTCAAAATTAAGCCTCATGAGACATAAAACAAATATGGCAAAATAATCTGGCTTAAGAGATAGGCTAGTCACTAATGCCCAACAACCCATCAGATGGATCCTATAAGCCCGGCAGAGTCAATGTTAGATACTTGGTGACTATCAACATTGCCCAACAAAGCACTGATAATTCTCTCAATCCAAGTATAATGCCTAGAAACAAATCCATGGTTCTAAGTAAAGTAGGAGCTCTCGTAGTGTAGTGCCTAAGGCACTTGAGTGCTAACCAGAAGGCTGGCGGTCCAAACCCACCAGCCACTCCTCGGAAGGAAGATGGGGCAATCTACTTCTGTAGTGATACTGCCTCGGAAACCCAAGGAGGGGTTGCTATGAGTCAGGTCCCACTCGTCGGCACATAACAACAACAACAAGTAAAGTATCATTATGCCCTCTATAAGGAGCTCTGATAGCGTAGTGCCTAAGGCACTTGACTGCTAACCAGAAGGATGGTGGTTCAAACCCACCAGCCACTCCTCAGAAGGAAGGTTGGACAATCTACTTCCATGGTTATACTGCCTTGGAAACACAAGGAGGGGTTGCTATGAGTCGGATCCAACTCAACGGCACATAAAAACGACAACATGCCCTCTGTAAGGAGAGAATGCAGGCTAAAAAGTAAAATGTAATGGATCTCTATATGACCATATGCATTATTTTAAAAGACAAGGTTCAGGAGTGAGAGAGAAAATTATATTTTCTTGAACTCTACCTTTGTTGGAGCAACATACACAACCACCCCTTCATTGCTCTCCTTCAGCACTTTCTCCATGCAATAGTAAGAAGCGTAGGTTTTCCCAGAGGATGTTGGGGCAACAATCACTGCAGACTCATTATTGTCTACAACATCGAGGAGCTCTCGCTGCAGGTTTAAGGGCAACAATTGTCAAGAAAGTGAACAGCATGTTTACAAAACTAACACAAAAAAAATACTTTTCAATATGATTTTCTGAACTTCAAATAGAATGGATGTCACACATTTCAAGGAAAATCTGAAGAGGTCATGTCATTCTCTAAGAAGACAGATTTTAAAAAGTGCAAGTTGAGTTTAAGTTTTAGATCTTAAAAATGGAGAATGAAATGAATAAAATATTATTTTTTATTGGAACGACTTTTTTCTAATTACTTGTCATTTATATCGGAAGACGGGCAATCTACCTCTGTAGAGATATTGCCTTGGAAACCCAAGGAGGGGTTACTATGAGTTAGAACTGACTGGATGGCAGTCAGTTTGGTTTGGTTTCATTTTCGTCATTTAGTAAGTGTGGAATAGATGTGAGAAATTAAATTCTAGTAAGTACTTAATATATATTTTGTGATGGTGAAAAATGCTGGTAAAAATTTAAATATTAATAATTTTATTACTCTATCCTATTTTCTTTAAGGAAGAATACCAAGTTCCTGTCTTGGAGAGCACATGAGTGCTTCACAAGCTCTCATCCCTTATACTGTATCATGCTTTTATCATATCAAAGTGATCTTTAGTCAAAGAATCACAAACCTGTATAGAAAATGAAAAAACACACCAACTCATCACACTACATGCCCTTTTCAGTCTAAATCACTCCTGGTCACATCTCATGATGAAATGGGCATCAGAATAATTATAATGTATGTGGAAGGAATGGAGACCACTCAGCTGTTCTGTGTCCTACACTGAAGTGAGGAACTTTGGTCTTTCTGCTCAAGGAGGCATAAATTTTTTAATGTTTTCCACTGTTATCAACATAAGAAAGGTCAAGTCTGTTTCTAAAGGCAAAATTCTGTTATATTGAACCCATGAAACCATTTTATCAGTAAAAATGTTTAATTTATTAGCAATTTTTAATTTTATATGCTTCAGTCTATACAGAAACATACAATTTTATTCCAAATTTTGTATGTCGATATTAATTTTGCATACATTTATAGAAGAATAGTTGCTATGGTAACAAATACGGTATGCAAATATATAAACAACTATCTACACTGTTCAAATTGCCTACATTTCTCTGTACATGTTTATACATTTAACTGTGAACACTTATTGACACAGGCAAAACTTGGAGGCTACTCTGTAATGACAAAATCGAATGACACAGATACAACCTCATAAACATGTATGTGAATCCATCAAAGTGCCTTCAAGGAACTGGTATATGTGTTAAGGAAAAATTCACTTTCTTTAGATAAAGGCAGTTAATCTACTTTTAACATTTTTATGACAAAATTATTTTCAATGACAAGATACAATACTAAGAAGTTCATGCCAAATATCATGTGTAAAATCACAACAGTGAAAAACTCTTGAGATCTTACTTAATAAGAAAATAACAAAAGGTTTGTTTAATTTCACATTATTACCTGCCATGTGTCAGGAATAAAATCCAGGACTCTTGGATCTGGATCTTTTCTCTCCTCTCGTATCAAATAATGGCCCATGAATTGCAACTGAAACCGAACAGGTCCAATGCCAACTGAATATTTATTATTTTTCTTCTCCTTCTTCTTATCTCCTGAAATCTATATTATTTTAAAAGTGATTTTAAATTATACAACAATTTAAATAGTTAAAATATTTTACATTGTATCTTCTGTGCAAAGAGCAATTAAAACAACCTTTTAAAATATTTTGAAGAAGTTCTTCACCACATAAATATTTTCTTATTTATGAATAAATAAGCAGACATTAAGATTTTCATCATTTACATCATGGTTGCTAGCTACAATCTGATATTTTTAAAGGCCATCAAACAATTACATTATAGGTTTGACATCTTATTAGAATTAAGTACAGGGCTAGTTTTAATGGTCCAGAGATTAGGTGTCATTTAATATTGTTCCAGGAGAGCATTTACAGATTTTCTAATTCTTTATTAATTCATATTTGGGCAACTGGATAACTAATAAAGATTATGGACTCAGAGTAAATATTCTCTGTAAAAAAATATAGAACTGATAATTATAAGATACTTTATGTATACTTAATAATTGTTTTAATGTACTAGAAACAGAGGTACTCTAAAAATATTACCTGTGTTGGATGTAAAGAACTTGCCAATTCATCAAATCCTAAATACTTAAGGCATCTGGCTATGAACTGATAATCTGGTTCTTGCAAAAATTCTGGGTATTTATCCATCAAAGAGTGGATTCTTTTCATCATTTGAACAGCGATACTTAAATCATTTGAGGTTTGACCTTGGTAAAGAGTAAACAATAAAATTGTCATAGAAGGTGTGGTGGTTCTGTTTTTGTGTCAACTTGGCTGGGCCTGGTTGAGTGGGTGGGCACCTGGTGGTAGTTATTCCCCTTGATGAGACTGGCATGGTGGAATCTACCATAAGCAGCTGAGTAGCTGCTTTGGGTATGTGGTCTGCTTCACATATATAAGAAACAGCTTTGGGAATGGTCTCTAGCTTATGGCACGCTTGGACCCTGCATGTAGCCATGTTGCTGTTCAGCAGCCTGCCATGCTCTGCTGACCTTGGGACTTACAATGGACTTAAATTAATGGTCTGCCATGTGGTTTGGTAACATCAAAACTGTCTGTGCCTTTTTATCTGTTGACCTTGGGTTTCTCAGCCTCAGCAGCTAGCAGCTGTCTGAGTTAAGAAACTCCTCTAGATCTAGTGGGCCAGGAGTGGGTGGCAGAGCTAGACCCCAAGGTTCAGGGGCTTTCACCCAGCCCCTAGAGCCTGGCACTTTGAACTTGGACTTAAAGCCTCCAAATCATGTGAGAATAAACTCCTGTTTGTTAAGGCCATCCTATTCATGGTGTATTCTTGTCAGAGTGGCACTAGGTAAGGAGAACAGAAGCCATAATAAAAGTAACAGATCTTTGATTGTCCTTTATTAATCCTGACTCCAAAACCAAAAAAGAAACAAATGCACTGCCATTGAGTTGATTCCAACTCATAGTGACCCCCTTTGGGTTTCCAAGGTGGTAAATCTTTACAGAAGTAGATTGCTCAGTTTTCTTTCTGTGGAGTGGCTTGTGGGTTTGAACCACCATCCTTCTGGTTAGCAGTCAAATGCCTTAGGCACTATGCCACCAGAGCGCCTTACTAGGTCATTAATTGATAATCTGACCTAATTAAACTATTTAACTTGATATTAATGGAGGTTTTGGGATACAGAAAATTGAACTTAATGATTGAAATATAATTAAAGCACAACTATCCATATTTCATCATTTCCACAGCTAATTGAGAAGTGAGAAAAAAGAAATCCTCCATAGCTCGTTACAGAAATTCCATAAGCCACTGCTGTTGAGTTGATTCTGACTCTTGGCAATCTTGTAAGACAGAGTAGAACTACCCATAGGGTTTCCAAGGCTTTAATCTTTGCCGAGACAGATTGCCACTTTTTTCTACCAAATAGTGGCTGGTGGGATTGAACTTCAGACCTTTCTGTTAGTAGCCACTTAACCACTATGCCACTAGGGCTTCTTGCAATATGAAAAAAATTTGTTAAATCTCAGGTTTGTATTAGCTTCTGGGGAACAAGTCTTTTCTCCATCTATTATCCTCATATCTTCTGTACTATGGTCAAAGAAAAAAAAATATATCAATTTGACTTTAAATATCTGGTAAAAAAAAAATAAAAGCAATATTTGTTGAGTCCTGTAGATCACAGATAAATGTTTCAAATAATCATTGGAGCTCTTCAATTCAACCAATCTTTTGAACCCCCAGAATCAAGTGATCCAGACTTTGCCAATCTTAACTGACAAATTGAAGAGGAATAGTGTGGCATTCATCATCACAAAGACTGTTTCAAAATCAATCCTGAAATACAATGCTGTCAGTGATAGGATACTATCCATAAGCCTACAAGGAAGACCAGTTAATGCTACTATTATTCAAATTTATGCATCAACCAACAAAACCAATTATGAGGCAATTGAAGATTTCTACCACCTTCTGCAGTCTGAAATTGACCGAACATGCAATTAAGATGTGTAGACTATCATTGGTGACTGGAATGCAAAAGTTGGAAAAAAAAGAATCACTGGTAGTTAGAAAATATGGCCTTGGTGATAGAAATAATGCTGGAAATCGCATGACAGAATTTTGCAATACCAATGAGTTATTCATTGCAAATACCTTTTTTCAACAATATGAAAGGTGGCTTAAAACGTAGACTTTGCCAGATGGAATACATAGGATTCAGATTGACTACATCTGTGGCAAGAGGTGATGGAGAAGTTCAATATCTTCAGCCAAAACAAGACCAGGAGCTGATTGTGGAATAGATCATCAACAGCTCATATGCACATTCAAGTTGAAGTTGAATATGATTAAAACAAGTCCACCAGAGTCAAAAAGTGACCTTGATAATATCCCTCCTGAATTTAGAGACCATCTAAAAAATAGATTTCATGTACTGAACACTAGGACCAAAAACCAGAGAACTTGTGGGATGACATCAAGATCATCATTCATGAAGAAAGCAAGAGGTCATTGAAAAGAGGAAAGGATGAAAAGACCAAAATGTATGTCAGAGGAGACTCTGAAACTTGCCCTTGAGGGGAGATAGCTAAAGGAAATGGAAGAAATGACAAGATAAAAGAGCTGAACAGAAAATTTCAAAGAGCAGCTCAAGCAAACAAAGCCAATTACTATAATGAAATGTGCAAAGACCTGGAGTTAGAAAATGAAAAGGGAAGAACATGCTTGCTTTTTTCAAGCTGAAAGAACTGAAGAAAAAATTCAAGCCTCAAGTTGCAATATTGAAAGATTCTATGGGCATAATATTGAATAGTGAAGGAAACATCAATAAAAAAGATGGAAGGAATACAGAGTCACTGTAGCAAAATGAACTGGTTAGTGTTCATCCATTTCAGGAGATGGCATATAATCAAGAACCAATGGTACTGAAGGAAGAAGTTGAGGCTTCATTGAAAGTATTGGCAAAAACAAGGCTCCAGGAATTGATAGAATACCCATTGAGACGTTTCGACAAATGGGATGCTATACTGGAGGCACTCACTTGTTATGCCAAGAGATTTGTAAGACAGGTACATGGCCAACTGACTGGAAGAGATCCATATTTGTTCCCATTCCAAAGACAGGTGATCCCACAGAATGTGGAAATTATCAAACAATATCATTAATATCACATGCAAGTAAAATCTTACTGAAGATAATTCAAAAACAGTTGCAGCAGTACATAGATAGAGAACTTCCAGAAATGCTAGCTGGAATCAGAAGAGGATATGGAATGAGGGATACCATTGCTGATGTCAGATGGATCTTGGCTCAAAGCAAAGAACACCAGAAAGATGTTTATTTATGTTTTATTGTCTATGCAAAAGCATTCGATTGTGTGGATCATAACAAATTATGGAAAATATTGAGAAGAATGAGAATTCCACAACACTTAATTTTACTCATGAGTAACCTGTAAATATTTCAGGAGGCTGTCGTTTGAACAGAACATGAGGATACTGCATGGTTTAAAATCAAGAAAGGAGTGCATCAAGGTTGTATGATTTCATTATATTTATTCAGTCTGTATTGCTGAGCAAATAATCCGAGAAGCTGGATTATATGAAGAACAACATGGCATTGGGATGAGAGGGAGACTCATCAACAACCTGAGATACTCAGATGACACAACTTTGTTTGTGTCAAAGTGAGAATGATTTGCAGCACTTACTGAGGAAGGTGAAAGACTACAGTTTGCATTATGGATTACATCTCACCATAAGGAAAACAAAAATCCTCACAACTAGATCAATAAGCAGCATCATGATAAACAGAGAAAAGATTGAAGTTGTTAAGGAATTTTCATTCCTTGGTTCTACAATCAACATCAATGGAGGCATTAGTCAAGACATCAGTTGATGTATTGCATTGGGCACATCTGCTGCAAAAGACCTCTTTCAAGTACTGAAGAGCAAAGATGTCTCCCTGAAGACTAAGGTGCACCTAACCCAAGCCATGATATTTTCAATCACCTCCTACATGTGTGAGAGCTGGACAATGAATAAGGAAGACCAAAGAAGAGTTGATGCTTCTGAGTTGTGGTCTTGGTGAAGAATACTGAGAGTACCATGGACTGCTAAAAGAACTAACAAATCTATCCTGGAAAGAGTGCAGCTGGAATGCTATTTGGAAGCTAGAATGGCCAGACCTTGTCTCACCTACTTTGGTTATGTTATCAGAAGGAACTATTTACTGGAGAAGGATATCATGCTTGGTAAAGCCAAGAGTCAAGGAAAGAGGGGAAGGCTCTCAACAAGATGGATTGACAAGGTGGCTGCAACAATAGGCTCAGATATAGCAAGGATCTTGAGGCTGGCACAGGACTTCACAGTGTTTTGTTATGTTGTACATAAGGTTGCTATGAGTTGGAGACAACTTGATGGCAACTAACAACAACAATTGATAAAATATTCTGTATAAGGAAGAAAGAGTAGTGAAAGCTTTTGCCTCTCAGTGTCATGGTTTGCACAGTGAGAGTCTAGCTTTCCCAAAGCAGATTTCAGATAGCAGAGTGAGACTGAGGAATTCATAAAGGACCCAGTGACCATTTGTTAAAGAAATATGGGTGGAGACATGCTCAAGATTGAAAGATCCACTAAATTTCTTAAAATTGCCAGTTTGGGACTGTTATGACATAGGATCATGTAAACTGTTATTAATGTATATATTTCTCTACCCAGCCTGGTTTTTCCATCTTTTCTACTACCTGCTATAGGAACTGACAAACTAGAGCACATGGTGATCCACAGGGACTTACAGAAGAATGAAGTACGTCAGGCAGGCATGATAATAGTTCTACTCAGAAAGTGCAAGTTTACTCTTTGGATATCAAGGATGAGGGATAGATTCTCCCTGGGCATTGCACCATCTTTATTGGTTTCCTTGACCATGGCCCAAATTTTATAAATTGCTATTTATTGAAGTTATTTTGATTGTGTTTTTGGATATATTGTATATTTGCTGCTGAGACCTTTTCTGTGATTTCATTTCTCATTAGAAAAACAGATACAGTCATACTTATCTGGGAGGGCAAAATAAGATAATAATGCAGGTAAGGCTTTTTGTACAAATTTACAGTTAATAAATGAAAGTCCTAATCATTATATCTTTATTGATCCTTCAATTTACAAATCAAGAAAATAGAAATCATATACCTTCATCTCGGCAATATTCTTTCCATGCTTTCAAGCAGGCAGTTAACCCTACCATTTCAACTTGAAATTTCACTGAGTTACTTTTACATGACTTCAAAAAATCCTCGAGATTCTTTATTCCAGAATTTAAATTATCTTTCATTTCCTGTTCAATTGAAAATGACAAAGAATTCCATTTTTGCTCTTCTTTCTGTTCTTCCTTGGCAAATAACCTCTTCTTATTCTCTCTAGTGATAATTTCAGCTTTGGTCTCCTGCTCAAAAAGGAAAGAAACATATCATGAAACAAATTTGATGTATTTCAAGATGAGATTTCATTATTGAGAGTATTTTTGAACTGTATTGATAACTTTGACCATTATTCCATTCTTGAGTAAGTACAATTTCCATTTTTAGTTTTCAGCCTGTCTACCCATCTATCCACCCTTAGATTAATGCTTGCCATCACTGACAATGAAGTACCATAAATGCAAAAGGGTTCATCTTTGTTGTCTGTGGCTCCCATGGACCTCTCTGTCTTCCTCTTCCTCAATACTAATATGTTGATCACTCACTTTTGGTACCTGGCCCTTCCCTTCACTCAAGTCAATACTTTTCTCTACTTATCTAGCAGTTTTCTCTCCTCTCCTCTCCCATCTCTGGTAACCAACAAAGAGTTTCCTTGCATATATACACCTTTCCTTGACTTAAAATTAAAGACTTTCTTAATGGAAGGCTTATAATAATTCAACTTAGTGAGAATCAAATCTCTCTTAAGATAACTTTCTATATATCTGAGCAGTGTAGATTATGAAAAAAGGAGCAAATAAAATGAAATCAAAGATACATTGGGCCACTGTTCTTCCATGTCTGCATGCATGGTACCTGGTGTTCTCTCTGGAATTGTCTTTCCTCTTCCATTCCTCTCAGTCACCCCCCAAACTTTTATTTATCTTTGAAGATATTTCCTCAATAAAGACTTCTCTAATTCTCCCAAGCCTGATTTAGGTATCCCTTCTCTGCCCTTATGCTATACCCTCTTTAACAAAGCAATCATCAACATGATTTTACTAGTCATTCTTCTTCTCTGATTGAAATTCTTAAGACAAGACTGTCCCATATTTATCAAGCACAAAGCAGTTGGCCCATAATATTTAATGAGTAAATGAGTAAGAGGAAGGGAATGAAAGGAACAAATAGAAGTACAATATGCATCCAACTGATTTGCTCTGGCTATCTAACTGATTTGCTCTGGCATTTCAGATTGACTTAAAACACACTACAGACCTAATTTTACCATTCTTTTACAAACTTGACATTATTTTACCAAGATAATATAGAAAAAGAACTATTGTGATAGCATGAAAATTTCAATAAACAATTCACTATTTTATTAGTTATTTTATTAGTTATTTGAATGTTTGCCAATTTTGGCTATGGTCACTCTAAACACTTTGGGAGTTCTGGTGGCATTCTGATCCATAATATTTTAGGATTCCTATTGTTTTAATCCAGTGTTGGGTTAATCTGGCATGCTTCTGCCTCAGTAAAACAAGGAAGGTCTATGGCCATTTGCCATGTACAATGCTTGTCACATCTTGTACATACAGACTTATTAATTGGTTACTAGAAGAGCACATCTGTACAATGTTAAACAGAACCAATTGCTATTGAGTCAATTCTGATTCTTGACGACCCCATGTATATCAGAGTAGAACTGTGTTCCATTGAGTTTTAAATGGCTGACTTTACAGAAGTAGATCTCTGGCTTTTTTACAAAGGTGCCTCTAGGTGGACTTGAACCTCCAAACTTTCAGTTATCACCTGAGTATACAAACAATTTGCATCATGCAGGGACTCCTGTATAGTGTTAAGAGTGTTTAATTCTTTGGAGATAATTTATTTAGATCCAATTAATGAAAAAGCAAAAAGAAGTATGAACGTTTCCTTCAATCTTCATATCTTGTACTGTTTAATGAGAACGTTTGCACTTGCAAACTTGCTATTTTATAACATGCCTCCCAAAAATAGAAGATGCCTCTCTGTATCTCTAAATGAAAATGGAAGAGGTAACCACATGTAAACTCACTGACAGTAAAATTGGCTATAAACATTAAAAGGAGGTAGTCACCTCAAGGTGAGAAACAGTAAACACCTAGCTGGGCATTAGGGAAGCTTCTTTTGACACATAAAGCAAAAGGATAGAGTGGAGTAGCTCCCATACCTGTGTCACCTTTTGAAGCAGTTCAAGGATAGAGGCTTCACAGAGGCCTTAGAACCTTGGAAATTAATTAGTTATTATTAAAAAAAAAAAAAAAATCCTTGGACTGAGTGCTATCTCTTGGATTTCTGAAACTCTTTGTTAATTAGTTGGAGGCTTGACTAGGAGATAGCACACTTTACTAATTTGCAGCAAACTTTCTGATGAAATTAGTATTAAAAAGTGGAATGGAAATGTTTTCCTGTCTCAGGACTTTATGTGTTTCATTTCCCATATCTTTACCATGCATACTTCAGGCACTTGACTGCTAACCAGAAAGCTGGCAGTTCAAACCCACCAGCCACTCCTCGAAAGGAAGAGTGGGCAATCTACTTCCATAGTGATACTTCTTTGGAAACACAAACAGGAATTGCTATGAGTTGGAGTCGACTTGACAGCAGTGAGTCTGTTGTTGACTTCAGTTTGTTAAGGCAAATCACTGTATCCAATGCTTTTATTCAGAATCTGTTGTTAAGTTGGTGTTCTCTCTCTCATATTTAAAATTTTTGACTTTAGGAGGATCTAATAAGGACTCTGGTGCTGTAATGCCTACGGCATTTGACTGCTAACCAGAAAGTTGGCAGTTCACACCCACCAGGCACTCCAAGGAAGGAAGACCGGGCAACCTACTTCCATAAAGATTCACTGCCTCGGAAACACAACAAGTGTTTGGGTTGAATCAACTCAATAACAGTGGGTATGTTTTTTTTTGGTTTTCAGTGGCAATAAATATCTTTTACTAACTTGAGGCCAGCATAAATAGACTAAAGTCTAATGAGATATTCATTTTCCCAAAAACATGATAGCAAAGTCATTATCTTAAAACTTGTTGCCATCGAATCAATTCTGATTCATGGTGACCCTACAGAACAGAATGGAACTTTCCTACAGGGTTTCCAAGGGTCTAACCTTTAGGGAATCATACTGCCACATCTTTCTGCTGCAGAGCAGCTGGTGGGTTCAAACCACCAACCTTTCAGTTTACAGCAGAGTGCTTAACCACTGAACTACCAGGGCTCCTTATTAGTTAATATAGTTTTAACATAAACTATATTTCCAAAACCAGAACCCAAACTCACTGCTGTTGAGTCAATTCTGACTCATAGTGATCCCCCCTTGGGTTTTTGAGGCAGTATCTCTGCAGAAATAGATTGCCCAGTCTTCCTTCCAAGGAGTGGCTGAACCACCAAATTTCTGGTTAGCAGTCAAATGCCTTAAGTACTACACCACCAGATTTCCTAAACTATATTTACTTAGATATTAATATTATCAGATATATTGATTGATCACTTTTCCTATCATAAGTTACTAACTTTAGTATTCCAGGAATCGGTTTTAACTTTCCTTATTTGCTCTATATATTCCATTCACATCTTAGGATGTGCACACCTTGAGAAAGTTGTAGGAGAGTGGAATCCCCAGAAGGGAGAAGTTTTAGGAATAAAATCAGCATAGAAAGAGAAAGTGGAAAGTTCTCACCCTCAACCTAAACAATTAATTTACATACTTTGGAAAAGTGTAGATAATCTTTCTAATTCAGGCTGGAAAAAAAAAAAAGCAGCTAAATATTTCATACTTACTTTTACCACGAATGTGTAAAAACATTTTCACTGTTTTAACTAATAAACAACTATAACAAATGTTAATTCAAAAATTCTAAATCCAACCCTTTAATAATTTAATGTTTTATGTTCTTTATCAAAATATCTTTTACTTAGTATGTTATTGTTCTTGTTGTTGTGTGCTATCAAGTAATTTTTACTCATAGCGACCTCATATGAGGATCATATATAACATTTTATGTGCAGGTTAAACTTTTTTGGAAAGTAAGTAAAATAGTGAGCAATCATATACAAAAAGAAAAAGCTTAGGTGAACAACTATAAATATCACTTTAAGAAAAGGAAAAGAAAAGGAAAAACATTTGATAGAATTTGTGTAACGTACATGTACCTTTTTGCTCTTGGGTCCACTGAAATCCTTCTTTGGCTTGACGGCTTGAGTTACAATGATCTTTGAAGAGACTGATTCTAATGAATTCCCATAAAATCGTTGAAAAACATGAAATTTTTGCAAGGATTTAAGAACATAAGGATCTCTAGATTTTTCTGAAAAAGGAAAAGATTTAAAATGTAACATTACTACATATTTATTTTTTCATTAATGTTCTATATCACATCATCACTTCTACATATGCACTTTTCTTTTTAGTTTCAAAGAATAATTTAGTTTATTTATCTTTGCTAAAGAGGAAATATTGGGAGCTCTGGTAGCATAGTGACTAAGGAACTTGACTGCTAACCTGAAGGCTGGCGATTCAAACCCACCAGCCACTCCTTGGAAGGAAGATGGCAATCTACTTCCATAGTGATACTGCCTCGGAAACCCAAGGAGGGGTCGCTATGAGTCGGGTGCAACTTGACGGCATATAACAACAACAACAACAAAGAGGGAATATTAACTCAGGCTTTCTCTTATCTGTACAATAATTCCTTATCTTATTTAAAGTATGGAGGTGACAAACCACTCTTTCATTGTTTACCTCCAAAAGCAAGTATCAGGGTGCTAACAAAAAAATGGATGATTCTAGGCATTACCTCTGTCAGGTGCCCTGTGAATGGAGTTAAGCAGAGGAAGGTAGAGACAAACTCAAGAAGACAATCATCTAGAATATTCTAGTTTCCTGCTTACCTGGACAAGAAAGTCTCTACTACAGAACATAGCCACAGAGCCAGAAGCCTGGCAACTGAGAAAGCCGGAAACTTCTTTCATTATTGCAAACCCCAATGGCATAAGATATCCAGCAATCAAGATACGATTTATTCTCATAACCAAAGAAAACTCTTTAATGTACTCACTTATAACTTGATTTCCCTAGGTCTATACATTACACGTCGGAAGGAAGATGGGGCAATCTACTTCCATAGTGATACTGCCTTGGAAACCCAAGGAGAGGTCGCTATGAGTCGGGTCCAACTGGACGGCACATAACAACAACAACAACATACATTACATGCATCTAATCAGACCACTTTGAAGGCAGTTAATTGCTAATCTAAAGTATCTTTTCGCATCTTGTGGTATTTTGGTAGTTATTTAAATAAGCAAACTGAAAAACACTGCATTTGAACATGTTTAATAGGCACACTTTTAGATTTGTCTGAAATTAAATTTTTCAGTCCTAAGAAGGGTGCTCCTGGGTCGAACATGGGAGCAGAAAAGGAAAAATAAAAACAAATAATGAATAAGAGAGGCAAGATCCCTAATTCAATCTCAGTTGGTCTACTCTTAGGGCCCATTTTTACAGTTTCAACTCCCCTAAGAATGAAGGTAGATAAAATACTTGTGCTTGTTACATGAAATTAACTAGATGGTGTGAAAGCAGTTGTAATTGCTTAAGACACTATGGTTCTCCATGACCACATATGAGATTGGTAGGCAATGTTTTCTACATGAGTATTTGTATGTGCTGTAAGAATGTCCTAGTGTATAGTAGAGGTGACAAAGGGCAAGGTTGTGGTGGCTTCTTGGCCACAACTAGCTGTCATGAGGGAGAGAGTAGTTGGACCTGTGGGCTTGGGACCATGGTTGCAGGGGATATCAAGCTCAATTGGCATAACATACTACAGAAAAACATTGTTCTACATTCCTTTTCGTGAGTAGTAATTGGGGTCTTAAAAGCTTGCAAGCACCCATCTAGATGCAACGATGGGTCTCTCCTCTTCCAGAGCAAAGAAGAACGAATAAAACAAAGATGCATGGAAACAATTAGTCCAGGGGATTAGTAGACCATATGATCCTCAGCCCATATGACCACGAAACCAGAAGAGCTACATAGTGCCTGGCTACGACTGTCAATGACTCAGAGGGAGATCAGTGCAGGAGATCCTGGATAGAGTGGGAGAACAAAGTGGAACAAAACTCGAAATCATTAAAAAAAAAAAAAGACCAAGCTTGCTGGTCTGATAGAACCTGGTGAGATCCCTGAGACTATGCCCCTAGTTAGCCTTCAGGGCGGAACTGAACTCACTCCTGTGGCAGTGTTTGCAAAGGGAGATAGCTCAGGGAGTGGGAGTGTGTGGGAGAGAAGGATACAAGTAAGAGGTAATTACAGTGAGGAAGTGAGAAGAGAACATAAATCTCTCTTGTGTCATGAATCAAAATGTGTATGAACTGTTTGCTGTATGGAAAATGAATTTGTTCTATAAGCTTTCATCCAAATCAGAATAAAAATTAAAAAAAGAAAGAAAGAGAGAGAGAGAGAGAGAGATTATGGTTCTGTCAATTTATCTGAGATAAAGTAATACATAGATTTCTGAAACAACATAACATCTTTCCTTAAAACTTCTTCTGATATTTCTGGAGACAAATGCTGTATTTGTGTACTTCTTCCTAAGACATCTTCAGACCTACCTATACATACAAGATAGTAAACAAAGTAGCAAATTTTTTATTATGAACCTTTCTGATATATGTGTATATATTTCATAAACTATATTTATTCAAAAATAGTAATTTTGACTTATGATAATTTTTTACTGTATAATAAAAATCAGAGATTATAATTTATTTTAACTTATTTAATCAGAGTTACAGAGCTCACCATCAAAGTGACATTTTGCATTGTCATAGGCATCACTCAGGGGTTTGTGGGAATGCCAATGTACAAGTTCATCAAATTCCTTTTGTTTAACCAGTGAAGTAACAATTAGATCATCGCTATGAGAAAAAGAGAAATACATGCATATTTAAAATAGCACACCTCCAAATATAATACAGCATAGATTTCATTTTATAGTAGTAATTATAAAATCATAGCCCCCCTTCCTCTCTCTGTGACATGATGTGAAGTAGAATCCAAAGAATAACGTCTTTGAAGTGAAGGAATTCAAAATCCACATCATTTATCTAACAGTCTCATCAATGTCAACAGATATTCAAATTAAAAACCTATGGCTAAAGTGGTTTCGCTGTGATTAAAAACATTTAGCTTTTTGCCCAGTAATTTTCAACGGGCACTGTTAAAATTGTTATGACATTAATTCTGCTTTATAAAGCCATATTACATCTAACATACTGTATTTAATATATTTCACTTAGAAGAATATTTAGTGAGTAAATCATTACTTTTATAAATAACTACTGAGGCACACTTAGGCACTATACCTCTTTAGAAAAGGTAAATCTTTCAAAACGTCTCCAACAAACTCATCAACCAGCTTAGATGACACTGAAATAAAACCTAAATTAGGTACATTTTCCTCCACGTTTTCTGTAAACAAATGACAATTTAAGATAAAGTCAAATATTTGCCTTAGGAAATATAGGAAAGTTGTGCATTATTTCTAAAGCTTCACATTAAAAAAAGTGATACATTGATTTTATTTACACTTATCATTTTAAGCTCTTCTCATAAAATGATTTCCCATATTAAAAACTTTTTGATCACAATAGAATATAAAGAAATACACGGCATTTAGGCAGGCTGATTGGTACGTAGGTAGATAAGCAGGTAAGTAGTTAGTAGAAAGACAATGCTAGAGATAGAAGGCAGACATACAAACAGAAAATAAATAAAAATTCCCTGTTTCTAAATATTTATTCATTTTATTATTCCTTATTATAAGGTAGGAATCTAAAAGATGGTATTCCATCAAGAAACCTCCCATACACTTAGATGAAAATGAAAATTTCAAAATGGGAAAATGGAGATGGTAATGAAATTACTTGATATCATTACAATATCCTCTTGGGCCCTCTTTCATTTTATTGTGGTATAGATATGTAACATATATGTCATTTTTTAATCCCTATTGTTGAATATGAATCACATTTAAAAATAACAATTAGAATTTCTAAAAATGGAAAATAATGCTAAGGGATCAAAGGATGGGTTAAGAAGCTATACATAGTCACATATATGTATTTTCATTAAAAGAAAAAAAAAAAACTTGGTGCTGTGAATTGATTCCAATTCACAGCAATCCCACAGGACAGAACAGGACTGCCTCATAGAGTTTCCAAGGCTGTAAATCTTTACAGAAGTGGACTGCCTCATATTTTTCCCATGGAATGGCTGGTGGTTCGAGCTGTTGACCTTTTGGTTAGCAGCCAAATGCTTCAACCACTGCACCATCAGAGATCCTTATGTATTTTTACAGATAGAGATAAATTATACCTTAAATGATACATTGATAGGGAACAGTCAGAAATTCAAGATGGATTCAGAAGAAGATTTGGAATAAGGCATATCATTGCAATTTCAGATGGATATTGGCTGAAAGCAAAGAATACTAGAAAGATATTTACCTGTGGTTTTTTTTTTTTTTTGACTATGTACTCACTCATGTGAATCATAACAAATTATGGAAAACATTGTGAAGAATGGGATTCCAGAACACTTAGTGGTGCTCATGAGGACTATGTAGACCAAGAGGCAGTCGTTTGAACAGAACAAGGGGATTTTATGTGGTTTAAAATCAGGAAAGGTGTGCTTCAGGGCTGTATACTTTCACCATACTTATCTAATCCTTATGATGAGCAAATATTCTAAGAAGTTAGACTATATGAAGAAGAACATGGCATCAGGATTGGAGGAAGGCTCATTAACAACCTGCAATATCCAGATGAAGTAACTCTGCTTGCTGAAAGTGAAGAAGACTTGAACTTACTGATGAACATAAAAGACTACATCCTTCAATATGGATTACACTTCAACATAAGGAAAACAAAAATCCTCACAACTAGACCAATAAGCAACTTCACAATAAATGGAGAAAAAATTGAAGTTGTCAAGGATTTCATTTTAATTGAATCCACAATCAATGTCCGTGCAAGCAGAAGTCAAGATATCAAAACATGTATTTCTTTGGGGTAAATCTGCTGCAAAAGAACTCCCTAAAGTGTTAAAAAGCAAAGGTGCTACTTTGAAAACTAAGGTGCACCTGACCTAAGCCATGGTGTTTTCAATAGCCTTATATGCATGTGAGAGCTAGACAATAAATAAGGAAGACCACAGAAGAATTGATGCATTTGAATTGGGGCATTGGTGAAGTATATTGAAAATACCATGGGCTGCCAGAAGAATGAACAAATCTCTCACAAGAAGTGCAGCTGAATGTTCCTTAGAAGAAAGAATGGCTAGAGTTTGTCTCTTGTACTTTGGTCATGTTGTCAGAAAGGACCAGTCCCTGAAGAGGGATATCCTGCTTGTTAAAGCAGAAGGTCAGTGAAAAGGGGGAAGACCTTCAACAAGATAGAGTGACACAGTGCCTGCAACAATGAGGTCAATCTTAGGAATGATAGTGAGGATGGTGCAAGAGTGGCTAATGTTTTGTTCTGTTGTACTTAGGGTCAATATGAGTCAAAACTGACTTGACAGCATGTAACAACAACAAAAGATCACAGACCAATGAATCACTTTTTATTCAGTGTCTATTTCATCATTCTGGTTAAGCATAGTAGTGCCTGCTCTTGTTTTGTTCATTATCCCCTTGGTGGTCATTATTCTTCTGTTAGCACTGATGTCTTTACCTGCTACTCTGTGCCTGAGCACTTCACTTCTTATAGCCCACATGAAGCAGGTCAGAACTGCTAGGTTTTAATACACTCAAGGGCAGTCTTCAGCCAACAACATGATAAACATGACAGAACTCAGAGGATAAGCAGTCCAGACCCAAATTCCCAGGTGGTTTCTACACTATTCCCAGATATTCCCAGTGAAGTTTACCTCTAGTTGCCCATAGTGGAAGAAGCTCTGGAGGTCTAGTGGTTAAGGAATTTGGCTGCTAACCAAAGGGTCAATAATTCAAACCCACCAGCAGCTCTGCAGAAGAAAGATGGGGCAGTCTCCTTCCATAAAGACTTAGAGTCTTGGAAATCCAATGGGGGTCGCTATGAGTTGGAATCAACTCAATGGCAATGAGTTTCATTTGGTTTTGCTCATAGTGGTAATCTACTCATTAACATGCACTGCATTAGCCTTCTTCCCTTCTTGATCTCACCACATAAGTATTATATTAGATTTTGCTGGAATCAGTAAATTATTTGTACTCAAGGTCTTTCTCCAATAGAACCTGTTGTTGTTGTTGTTATGTGCCATCGAGTTACCCCCGACTCATAGTGACCCCTCCTTAGGTTTCCGAGGCAATATCACTACGGAAGTAGGATTGACCAAACTTCCTTCCGAGGAATGGCTGGTGGGTTTGAACCGCCAGCCTTCTGGTTAGCAGTCAAGTGCTTTAGCCACTATGCTACCAGAGCTTCTCCAATAGAACCTATCTTAATAGAAAGTAAAAGATTGTATGTTCTTGCCTTATATCTTGAAATAATCCTTATATCATTATATCCTAGGTTTTCAGTAGCTTTCTCGTATTCCTTCTGCAATCATATCTTTCATATCATTTCTTTCTGAAATTCATCATCTAGAAATATCATCAATGATGCTATGATGATGGATAATCAATTTTTGTTTTTCTAAAAATGTCACTATTACTTCTTTATTCTTAATTATATTTTAAGAATTGTACATAATTCCATTATATTCTAACTTCTATCACTGTTGCTGGGAAGTCTGTTATTAGATTAATTTTAGTTCCCATGTAGGAATTCTGTTTAAGATTATTATTTTATTTTTGACATTCTAAAATTCACTATTTTCTGAAAAGAGTGTGTATTTGTGTATGAAGGTACATGTGCATGTGCTTAATTTTTTCCACTTGGAATTCATAGAAATTAATCTCAAATGTACAATTTCCTTTCTTACATAAATCCAGGAAAATACCCAGTCATTGTTTCTTCAAATATTGTTCAACTCTTATATTGGTTCATTCTCTTCTTCAAATAGTAAGACTCCTTTATTTTATTCTCCATGTCTTTTAATATCTTTTTCATATTCTTCATCTCTATTTTTAATATGAGTAATTATTTCAATGTATTTATAATTCACAAATTTTCTCTTCAGCAGTGTGCAAATTGCTTTTTACCCCATTTGTTGACAATTTTTTTGTCACTTTTAGAGGGTTTATTTGGTTATTTCAAAATGTGACTGTTTTTATATTATTCTGTTCTGTTCTTGTGTTTTAAATTTAATACAGCATTTCTTTAACTATTTTAAAACCAGCTTATTATTTATTTTACATTTAATAATTAAGAAATCTAGAGTTCTAGTTCTGTGGCTTACTGTGTTTCTTCGTGCTTTATTTCCTCACAGTTTTGTATTTGTATATTTGAACTGCCAGTTGTCAGGGCCTTATCTATAGGAATCCTATAAAACTGAGGTTTAGAATGTGTTCCTTTACAGAAAACTTGCTATATTCTTTTGATTACATTCAGTTAATTTTCTGATTTAAGGTTGTCTTCACCCTACTAGAGTGTAAGTTTAAACCCTAGATTTCTAAGGGTCCTATGATGGTGTCCTACTAACAGACCACACCAGATCCCTTTTGCCACAGAAATTTAGAGAAACTCAGCAAAATAGATACAAATAATGATCCTGGAATTATGAGCATCTAATTGATGGCACATAACAACAACAACAACAACAATGGGAAGGCAAAGTGTTTTATTGATTGAAGATAGGAAAAGGACCACAGTCAATGACCAGGGGAAAGAAAAGAAGAAGAAGAAGAAAAAAAGAAGTCTGTCTGGTCCAAAGAAAGAGAAGCCATTACGTATACAAAAGAGGTCAAGGAGGGGAAAAACAAAAAACAATAACAAAGAAAAACTTCATGGAACCCACAGGCATTAAAGACACAGTGAGGGAGGTCATTCTTGCACCAATTTCCTTCTCCTATGTGGGTACACACTCAGGTGAGTGAGCAGATTCTGCCACCACTGCCTGCTCCCAGGGCTGCTGGCTGACAATAACTAGAAAAATCCCTCCTCAATTACCTTATCCTCCCTTCATTTTTCTACTTTCCTTTTGCCCATTTTTCCTTCCTTTCTATCTGATAATTCACCCCTCTACCTCTTCCTCTTCTTTCATTTTTACCAAATATTCATCCCTCTCACTTTCTGAATCTTGTTTTTTCTCTTTTGCTTATATTCTATTCTATCTTTTTATCTCCTTCTTCTCCTTGGCTCTCTTTCTTTTTTTCCTGGCTCATCCAATGGGAGGCACACATTAACTCTCCATTAGTCAGCCATATCTACTATTCTGAACACCTTACCCAACAGACAAGTAACACCAATAGCTCCTGCACCACAGGATCAATGACAGACAGTGGACAACACCTGCTCATCCCAATTGCAACTCCTGTTAATGACAAACAG